CACCAAATTGCAGGAGAAATCATGTTTTTGTTGTTAATAATTTACATGAAAAAAAAAAACATACGAGAAAGGTAAGACAGACGAAATTTTGAAATTGCGCGCGTGATATTTGTAATTTTCACTCGAGTTACATGTGAATGCACTAATTTTCCGCCAGTTAGAAGCGCTTCATTTTTCATGCACATCATTAACACGGTAGTAAACACAGGCGTGTCTGAGCGAGAGCATCATGTTAAAAAACTTCAAAGAAGTTAAACTTACCATCATCCTTTTTCTATCGCTTGGCAAAAACGTTTAGAGAAAAAGTCAAGATACCATCAAGCGTAACAAAACTCTTACCAAGCTTGTGTCACCTCGCAAGGCCACCAAGGAATCTGGATCGGACAAAACTTGTCCCAAGTAGTATTTGTTTTTAGGCGCAGATTGAGTCGTTACCATACCCTTTCCGTGATGTCTCTCAATAACTAAGTTCGGTGCCATGAGGTTACGATTTCGCCTCAATCGCAGCCGTAATTTGGAACCAAATGCATGCAGGTCGTAATGTAAAATATCTGAATGACCCACATCTCCCCTGATGAGAAAGGGAGACATAGTCCTTCCATTAACGTCTGTATGATGTGGTGAGCTGATATCGTATTCGGGTACTGTGAAAAGATGGCAAAAACTTACGTTCTTAGAAGTCTAGGCCTTTCGGGGCTTACCCAGTGTCAGTTGAAATGTGGAACAAGCGTTGCCTTAACAGGTAGTATGTTAGACTCCAGGTCGAAATGTCCGTGTTCAAAACTCGGCTGGCATTAGTTAATTGCGTTTTTGGGAAAGGCGCTTTATTTCTCTCTCCACTGTCGGGGGCACTGTCAGTTACGATGTCTATGAGCAACACCTTAAATGGGCTAACGATCGCACTAACCTTCTTTTCACTGCTCAAAATATCGCAAAAACAGCTTAAAATTATCAAAAATACGAAAAGGAACTTTTTTGTCTTACTTTTTGTATGATCCTTGACACCAAAGTAATGCTCTATTTCTCTCTTGGTCATGTGATGGTGGAGATTCTAAGGAAAGAATCAAGGAAGATAAATACACAAACGCTTCAAACCAATCATAAGATGCACCCCTTTGTGCAACTCGAATAAATTGATGTCTTGCAAAATTTTTTTAATTTCAATGGAATTGAGTTGCACTATATTTGTGACAGTCTCAGTCATATCTTCATCGCACAACCAAAACGAAATCAATTTCCGTAACGCATCATATCTTACATACAAAACATAAGCAACATCAAGTAATCATCGAAAAATACGAACCCCTCGCAAATTTGGACAAGTAGTTTGGAAATCTTTTTTTCCAACCAAGGTATGAACATTGAAATTCAACTACCATTGAAACATTTTTCCGAGGAAAAATATGACTTACTTGTTCAGATTTCCTTGCTAGGATAGCGTCTAAGTAAGAAAGATGAGTAGACAAAATCAAGTAAATCAACCATTTTAACAAAAAGCACACTCTACACTGAAAGCAAAGTAAAGGCGTTGAATGCAGGGCATAAAGTATCGTTTCTTTTTCAATAAAATACGAGGTGCATTTAAAGAAGGTGCCGTAGAAGTGTCTTACCAATGGATAGAAGCAACGCAAAAACCAGGAAAAGCCAATTGGACGATGGACATCGCATTCTGTACATTCTAAGAAGGCAAATAGAAAGGATAGAAAATACAAGTGAGCTAAACTCACATACTTTTAAATACACAGGCAACTTGTACTGTGTACAAGTAAATTACCCATTACTAGCTCGTGAGATGTGTCAATGATGACACAATATTGATGAAAAATATTGCCCAGCCGGTAAAACAAGATGTATTTATGAAAAATAGCAACGAATGAAGGGATATACTCGGCGACTCACGAAAGCGTTACCGTTGCCCGTAGGAAAATACCCACCGGGTAAAGAACCAATCAGATTGCAGGATTCGTTACCGTGCCCTCTGAAAAAAAAATCATAATAACAACACATTTTTCAGCAAACTTACGATCAGTAAAATTGTTGAATAAGCCTGCTCACTCGAAGGAAACAGAAGCCGCTAAATTCAAGTAAATTTTTAACTTGATCAGAGTCACTAACAGGTTACTTTAAGTCTTTCGAAACACAAGCTGATATTGCTGTGCAACCGCTGTTCCACTTTGCATTCCGGATCAATTTTAGCAACAAAATATTCGGTCGAGGTACCCGAAAAGAAGCAAATTTAACTACCTGACATGACTACGAAGATCACAACTAGCTCGTGCGAAATGACCTTGATACAATTTTAACTGAGGGTAATTTTAACTTCAATGAGTAATTCGAACTTACTATCTAAGTTCATGACAAACCACCATAGTAGCAAGAGCTTTAGCGATGCACTTGTAATATCAAGAACGATGTTTTACCTCTTTCCCAAAAATACATTTCGTGGAGACTTTGAGTCAAAGCAATATTCACAGTATATCTTAAGTAGATAATATTTAGAACAACATTGAAATGCCACTATTCACTGGCATTAAAGCTTGACTCGTGATACATTTATAAAAATAGTTTTGGTGAAAGATTAGTACGGGCTCAAATCTCCTACCTTTCTGACATTGCAATGAATTCAGACATTCTCATTTTTGCGCCCGAAGAATTTTAAATGCCAGCGTTTTCCACGTTATTTGGAAGATGATTGACCTGAACAGCGCTGGCGTCAAACTGAAATACTTCTCGCACTAATTAAAGGAAACACTTCTCTTTCGGGGCATATTTTGCTGTTCTTTTCCTCGGATTCTTTGCAGTGAAAGCTTTTGATCTTAAAAAAATCCTGTTTTCAGACAGAACTAAAATTAACAAAAGACAATTTATTTTAATTTGCCAATACTATCTTCCAAAATAGAAATATAATAGAAGATTTAACCGCTAAGACTCACAAGTTCTACTAACGGACATGCAAAAGCCATAACATCGATGATATCAGTTGAAAACTCACAATTTGACAAATAGGAAAATAATTTCATTTCTTTTCCTTTAGCTTGTTAATATGAATGAAAATCTCAAGTTACTCTCTGCGGGCTTTCGAATATAACATGCAGAATTGTGGTATGAAATCTTTTTACTGATGCGGCAGCCATTTTGAATAAATCATGGTCTGAACAGCTGTAGCTAAAAAGGTTTCGATGCACAGGAATCAAAGTGGCAAGGGCGAGAGGGGAAAGAATACTCAAGGGTGAGCGTATACATCAAAGGAAAATTTACATAGTAAATGAAATGAAAAAGATCAAAGTTTTACTTTGGAATTTGCACGGGATGGGTTTTTGTACTCTGTTTTCCAGGTTGAATCGAAATTTGAAGTGATGGTTTTTGTGAAGGTAGGGAAACCCTCGAAACAATGTAGAGAACAACCAACAAATTTAACACACTCGCAGAAGAAAGAAGAAAGTACCGGACTGGCATGTCGTGCAATTAGCGCGCGCGCGCTGAGACATTTAAGTCAGTCGTAGGCAAGTTACGCGTACGATTTCTCGCGTGTGTGTTGTCGCAGTTCTAGTCGCAGTTTTAGTCGCATTTTGTCGCATCTGGGAGATTTTCGTTATCGCTTGTGTTTTTCAGTTTAGTCGCATTTAGGAGATTTTCGTTATTGCTCCCAAACAAACGGTTTAGGGAATCGAATCCGGGCCAAAGCGGAGGAAAACGAGCGCTTCCACCGTGAGCCATCTTTGTTTTAAAGTTGGCTTATGCCGTCTAGTGACTTTCTTTGCTGCAAAGTCTTCCTTAGGATATTGTAGGGAACTTAACGTGCCTTAACGGAGACAAAAAAAAAACCACTGTGGCGAAATTTTTTATCCATACAAGTCTCTGTTCGGCTTAAAGGCTCTAAAAAGTCAATAAGATTCTTTATGTGAAGGATAAAGTGTGGACAATATGTAGGTA